TAAAACTCCTCGACTCTGACAACAAAGTCCGCGGAGGGACGCGTGTAGTCGGCGCGTTAACGCCGGCAGAAATGGCAATTATCATTGGGCGCCAGCAGGAAAGCGGAAGTTCCGCGCGGACTGAAATCCCGCGTTCTCGTCCCGTTGACTTTTTATTTACACCTTTGCTCGTGTTCCTCCTACGAGCAGGTTTTAGCGAGGTTGGCTCGGCTCGTTACTCGAGTCCTCCCACGTGAATCGAATTATCCTGCGCTCGGTGGCGTGAAAAACAGGAGGCGTGCCGTTTACGACCGCTTCCTTGGCTATTGCCACTTCTGCCTGCGAGCTTTCGTCCGATTAGCGTATTCACGAGCCTTCCTTTTGCCTTTCATTCCACTGCCCTCTCACGATTACCGATCCCGCCGATCCTCGAGGATGGCCGGGATCGCAAGAAAAGGATATTAATTAGCGCGAAGGAGCTTTTTGGTGGAATTATTAGCGTGTCGCGTGAGAGCGGGATCCACGGTTCCCGCCAGACCTCCCGATTACCCACGTCGGGCACAACCTTTGTCCATGAGATCAAGCGGTTTAATAACATGATCCGAGGAGCGGCAGCGATCGGTGTGCATTAAGGTCAGCTGGGTCGAGGTGTATAAAGATAATAGCCAGCCACCGGCCGACCGGCGAATAAGTTCTTTTATGTGCAAGTATGTAACGCGCGTGAGAGATTTCTCTCGAGCTGCACGCCGCTCGAACTTTCGGCTAGCCCTCTCCCGCTGACATTTGCATGTCGGGAACCGATCGGTCCCGCCTGACACACCGTATTTCTCCTATAAATCGTGATCGTTTCGCGAAACACCTCGAGTTTCCATACTCTGAAACTGGTCCACTACGTGGCACGGTATCTCGGATGAAATTCATTCCCGTGAGAGTAGGCTGTCTACTGTCATCCTCAGTCAACTCTGTCCGTCGATATCGAGATCGTTGGACCGTTCCCGCGGAGTAATTCGATAATAATTGGTACGCGGAGGAAAGGCTGTCCACCGTAAAGGGTTTCGGGGTCCCCTTAATGACGAGATCGAGCGATGATCGTCGGATGGAGCTGACGGGGTCAGCCGGGTCAGGCGGCGGAAAAATAATAATCAATCGGACGAGCGGCAAGTGAGAGCCGGCCAATTACGCGGTGTCGGCGGTGCCTGTGCTGCGGTTTGCCCTGGCCAGGAGGGACGAGGACAACCGGAGCTTCCTACCGCCTTTAATTCGCCTCAGTGGCTCCTCCTGGCCCCTCCTGGCCCCCTCTATCATAACCCAACAACTCGAGACTCCCTCGCTTTATTATTAAAAGTTAAAATTCCGCTGGGAGCCGGCCCGATCTTGCGGCCAACCGCTTTTGCCTTCCTCACCTGCCCGGCTCACCCCTCTGTCTCCCCGTTTCGCGCCAACCGCCGCCCTTTATAAAGTCGTGCAAACGCTCTCGTTGCGGGCGATCCACGGCATCCGGTTCTGGCAGTTCGCGTGAAGCTGCTAGTTCGTCGTTCGAGGTTTGACTGACGGGTTGCCGCGGAGTTTTAATCACGTCGGAACGTTGCACAGCCTCGTGTAATCCCTCCGCGAAACGAGCGTGCCACGGGGCCCGAGACGCGGAGGCTGGCATGATTGGTTCTGTCCGAGAAGCCTGTCACTGGCGTTAGAAAAATGCATACTTTGCGCGCTATGTAGGTTAAACAGGTTAACGAGTATTTACCTAACCGGTCGACAGCGGGGGGGTCACTGGAAAGGGATTATCGAAAAGTTCCCGCAAGTGGCGCAATGGCACTTGTTTTTCTCCAGGATCGACGCACAAGGTACCGTTAATTACTCGTATGCAACCCGATGCAGTGGCAGCTTCGGATAGCAAATTTCAAGCCTCTTAATGATATTTCCCAGACTAAGATGGCGCGCTGGAATTCCAGGGTACCGTTAACAACCTCGCGTGCACGCTTTATCCCCTTCGCGTTTCTCATTAGGTAGGGACAAGAATAAAAATTTCCGAATTTCCAGTCCTTCACGATTTGAAGCGATAACTAATTTATTTCATTCGTTCGAATTCTTTTATACGTTACTCGAAATCGCAGGTGAGGTGCCGAGTCCGAGCTACACGTGTCACTTGGATTAGCACTAGATTTACGGAACCCGTGAATTTGACGGAAGGATTGCTGCAATTATACGACGGTAACAGATTCAGTTAACTTATATAAAGATTGTTAATATTGTAATTGTTTTTAAATTAAACTAATCGTTAGAAAAGAGGCACGTGGTTTCCTTTACCTGTCAACTTGACAGGTGACCTCAGGAATAGGTATACAGACAGCGTCCGTGAACCTAGTGTTAAACAACTCGAGCAACCGCGTCGATAGAATAACTCGATTATCCACTGACTTTTCTGTTAATCCTTGAAATGTCGTTCCGGTATTCCGTTCATCCTTTTGTTTAGGACAGACTGTGTACCTAAACGCGAAGGCTCTGAAATTTTACAAGTACCAGTGTCGCGGCTCTAGGACCGCAATGTCCCAGGTCAAGTGGAAGACTGTTTTATGTCCTTATTGTCAGCGTCCCTTGACTTCTATACACTCATTGTCACGTAAGCCGCCACATGGATAAACCGTAAGAGGCTACGATATATCACCCTTAAGACGACAGGCATAAGGACCCGGATTGTTTAAACAACCACCACCACCGAAAGACGCTGGAGCTAGCACGCACCCTCAATATTATTCGCGACCGATCAGCAGACCAGGGAAGCTTATAAAACCACCGACTGAACAGTCACGAAGAGAGTTCTACTAAAATACAGTCCACTTAACACTTTGCAGCTAGACACAACCTTCCTCAAAGAACCGTTCGTCACTAATCGTCGTCAACTAAGATCGACCTAGTGACGATATTAAATCAATATCAAATTTCCCAATACCCCCTGAACGTACCCCTTTGAACACGTCGACACGCGAGACAACGGAGTGTCTTTCCTTCGTATTTGAAAAATCGCATCCCTGTTTTCGCGAAAAAGGCTCGTTTGAAGGATCATCAGCGTTAGAGGAGGAAATGGGAGTAGGGTGAAAAAAGCTCCGCAACGAGGACAAGCAGCGCGAAATAACTCCAGATGGGACTTGCCGGGTGGCGCGTGTACCGGTTGGGGTAATAAAATTCACGGGTGCTCGGTGGAGGATTCCGTGGCGAACGAGGAGGCGATTTTTTTCCCCCCCTCGGGCGAACGGAATTGTCGAAAAGCGGTAAAACTGTCGGGGGAAGAGTAAGGGGATTGGAACGGCGAGGGCCGTTACGAATTACGCGGACGTTTACCAGCGCGCGGATTGAAACGCGCGGAAACGGGATCCTGGGTGCTGGTACCGGTTCCGCGATGGAATATTTAAACGGAACAGGAGTCGCTGTGGACGTGGCCGAGTCGGGAAACCGCAGCTCGTTTCCTCGTTCACGGGACTCGGTGTCACCGAAAACGCACGGCCGCAGAACATTTTGAGGGTTTATAAACAAACGGATCTCCGGCCGGGACGAGTTGGCTGCCGCGTCCTCTCGCGTAGGTTGGATTTGCGAACCGTGTTTTCGGGGAATCGTCGCCTCCCGCGTCGAGTTGCTCGTAGCGAGGCCTGGTTCCCTTCTGGAGAACACGAGTCTCGTCGGGGGACCGAGTAACGATCGATCTCGCGCGCGTATGTATATCGGCGGGTACGCGAGGACGCGCAAGATGGCGGCAGTCGGAACGGGGCCGAAACGGGGAAATCGTTTCAGCGGAACGATAACAAGCGGATAACGCAAATTCCGTGGGCCGGTGATTGGCGCGCGATCGATTATTAGAAGGGTTTACAAGGAATTTTGCATAATTATTTCTGCGATACCAGTGTCGCCATAAAATTCTCGTGTTCGGTATCCCGTGGAACACGGTTTAGCCTATCACTGGCTATACGGCTGGGCTTAATAATTTACGAAAGATCGATGGTCGTGGGGTGGCAGGGGGTGGCGAGGGGGAGATCGATCATATTCTTGGCGCGAGCTGGTTCTCGATGGGTATATAAATTGTTCTGGGAACGCGATCAGAACCGATCCCGAACAAGGCTTTTTTCGCCGACGAGAGAGGGTCGTTGGAGATGGTTAACGACTCGGTGGACGCGCTGCGGCCGCGCCACTCACGGGATCGCGAATAATTCGACGACCGACCGATTCGCGCGATTACGTATTATGCTAAACACGCGAAAATGGCTTTTTAAATGGAACATCTACATTTATGCGGCCTCCTCGCTGCCTCCGCGTCTCTCTCCCCCTCCACGTCTGCCGCCTCCCTTCCCTCTGCGGGCCCCGCTCTCCGGGCCCCATCGGCCGATCTGGCCGTCTGCGAGTGGCGGGAATGGACGGAACGCGTAAGCAGCGGCGAATTAAACGCAATTTTCGTCCATGCGAGGTATGCATAACAAATTGTCGACGGGGACTGAACGTCTTTATACTTTGAAACTGGCGCGCGGTCATTATGCACGTAGCACGGGGGCAGAAAAGCGGTGCTTCCGTCCCGTCCACGATTACAATCCAATTATTATTCCTCGCATAAACGCCCCTCGTCCTCTCTTACCCCTTCGCCCACCGCCGCAGCTCTCTCCCGGTCGTTTCGCCGATCGTGTACTCACTTGGCTGACGAGCCGCCGGTCGAACCTAATCGGTCGCGTTTCACCGACGATAATAAGGAACGAACGGTCGGAAAGCGGGTCGACGGAGAATCGAGGGGGGGCACCGGAGCAGGCGAGATCCAGCCGCGAAATTGAAAATTAAACGGTTCGCGACCACCACCGCTCGAATTTCGAGCAACGTTCGCCTGTTTCTTACCCCGACCCCTCTCTTTCTCTCTTT